AGGTTGTAGCGAGGTGGGTGTCAGTCTCTTCTCCCAAGTAACTAGCGATAGGACAAGAGGAAATGGCCTCAGGTTGCGCCAGGGGAGGTTTAGATTGGACGTGAGTAAAAATTTCTTTCCTGAAAGAGTGGTTAAACATTGGACCAGGCTGCCCAGGGAAGTGGTTGAGTCACCATCCCTGGAAGTATTTAGAAAACATGTAGATGCGGCACTTAGGGACATGGTTTAGTGGGCATGGTGGTGTTGGGTTGACGGTTGGACTCGCTCTTAGAGGTCTTTTCCAACCTTAATGATTCTATGATTCTGTGATTCTTTTTCTGGAACCAATGTAGGCGTTTTGGTTCAGGCTGAGACTCAAGTGAAACATGTTACAACACATCAGACTCACAAAAATTATGGCTAAATCAAATAAAAACAATATTATTTATTTTTATATCACTTTTAAAGATTAGCAAATATTAACTTGGCAGAGAACTGTTCATTGCAGCATCTCCTTGATATATCAGTTAATATACCTGAAATCTTGACCACTTCTGTGGCAAAATCTATTGACTTTAATGTACATCTTTGTAAATAAAATGGGAATATGGCCTGAGAAATAAGCTGACACATGATATTCTGTTACATAAATGCATGAATTGAGAGAATAATGATATTTAAATTGTTCAAATTAGAAAAGACTTTTTCCAATACGAAAATCTACGTACGCTAGTAACAAGTGGCAAAACATGAACATTGAAATTCATGCCTTAAACTCTTATACAAAATACCTTTGTAACTACCATAAAGAGCTGCTGTAATGCTACATGGAAGGTAATTGCACTATTATTTAGATAGGTAATCTTTTGATTTCAACAATTAGAACTCGAATCTAAAATGGCTATTTGAAACTACACAAAAGTATAAGGAACACTACTAAAATACATACCAGTTGCTTTTCTGAACTTTAAGCCTCTATCCATTCTCTGATTTGTCATTAAATATAGTTTGATGAATAAATTATACTTATGCATAGAGATATAGTAACTCTAATAAGGGTTGTTTAATAAACTCTTCAGCCATTCTGGTATAGAAAGCTCAGTAAAATTTCCCTTCAGTTCCTTGTCTTCAGATGAAGCTTTCAAACATCAAGAAACAAATAAGGTACAAACTCCCATTCCCCAGAGTTGGCATCACGGGATCATTGGGAGATCATGAGAAGATCATGGGAGAATTACATACGAGTTCTGAATTACCCTAACTCCAATAACCTTTCCAATCTCATTAAGTAAGGAACATTTTAGGGGAAAAAAATCACAATGAGTTCTGTCTTAAGCTGTGGCTTGATTAAATATTTCCTTTGGCAACAGTACTGGCTTAACTAGCCCACAAGTCCCCCGTTGCTCTCTACAGAATGACTGGCTTAGAGAATTAACCCAGTCAAAAATAAGCTCTAACAGCCACAGCAACACTAAGGAGACTAGAGTGAACAGGGTGGCAGAATGTGTTAGATTAGTACTTATGAAAGAAATATTCCTTATACTATGCACAGGTATCCGCTACTTAAGGAGTCCAGTCTTTCTTCAGTTATATTATCCAAGCCCATCCCAGAAATCATGATATATGACATGAAAAATTAGATTGGACCAAAGCCAGTAAGAAAAAAGAGCAGATGCAAGGGCTCTTTGCCATCCTTTACTGAGAGACCTGCATAGAAGGTTACGGATCATTTCTCTTTGTGGCTTCCATGAGTATTTTGATCTTTATGTTCCCTAGCACAGCGTCTACAGCACAAGCTGCCCAATAATAAGGGTACTGGTCTGAGACATAAAAGTTTGAAAGACAGAGTTAGATCTAGGTATCTCACTTCCAGGTCAAATGCAGTAACCTTTAAAATACCGTAAAACATTTTGTACTGACTCAATGCTCTAAACCACTGTAGAAAACATAGGCAATGGTTATTATTGTTAAGAAAGCTTAGGTGTTGCTCTTCCTCATATTTTGACTCCCGTGAGACTTACACTGCAGCTGTATGCCAGGCAGCTCAGGTGGAAGCAGTTCTGTGTCTAAGCAGAAAGAAACGAAACCGCAGGCAGGAAGAGCATTTTCAAGAAGCTGTAAACATAGGCATTTTGAGATTTAGGCATTTCTGGGGTAGGATTGTACAGCTAAAATCTGCTCAACTCAAAAGCATCAGTCTGTCTTGAACCCATACCCTACCACAGTACAAGATACGAATTGGATACCCCAGAATCCAGTCATAAAATTTTGACATACTTAATGTTGCTCCCAATAGCAAATGGTAAATTTTGCTACCAACTTCAACATGATAGATTGCGTACATTCCACAAGAGGTTGGTTTGTTTGTTCGGTTTTTAACTTTTCAATGGGAGTTTTATTAGAATGAATGGAGGCTTCACGATTCTTGTCAATTGTCAGTCTTTGAATTTCCTGTTTCAGTTAGTGTAGGCATTAATCGCTGCATACTGTATTAACATGGTTCTTAGAACTTTGTAAACAATCTTGCTGGACAGTCATCTAGTGTTAGGAAGTGGCACTTTACATCTGTGTCAAAAGTGAAATGGCTGTAATTGTAAAAGAACAAAACCTAGGCAGAAAGAAAGGATTTTGAAAAATTAATAGCTTTTGTTCACTTTTGTTTCTTTTCAGCTTGCTCACTGTGATCCTGCCAAAAGAATGTGTAATGGTGTTTCACAGTCTATGACTAGATCAATTTTAGAAGATAATTTTGAAGGAGCAATCTCTTTTAGCTTCTCATTGCCCATTCTTTCCCTTCTCCAGACCCAAACACTATTTCATATTTGCACTTACTGATTAATGTATGTACGTAGAAAATGTTATGCAAAACATACATTTATTTAAAGGATAACATAATAGAAAATCTCACTTGAATTTCAAAATTTGATTTAACCATTCTGACATTAAGCATATTTAAGTCCAAATCTTTCTACACAAAGACTTACAAACTGAAGTTTACCATATCCTAGTGTAAAGGACTCCAAACACAACTAATCACAACTGAACTAAGAATAAGACTGAAGAACTAGTTAAACTTGCATGGTTTAGTACTAATGAACTTGAAATAGAAGAGCAAATTTTTTCCCAAATGGTCCATTTAATAATTTGAAGCACTGATATTTGCAAATAGATTTCTTAAAAATATATATCTATCTCATCTTAAAACAACAGCATTGCAAAGCATAAATAAATTTGATTTGAAAGGAAAATCATCTTCTCTGCAGAATTGAACACAAAAATAGGCCAGCACCTCAGTCACTACTAGAACTGTCTGAACTATCAGAAGATGAACTTTTTTCCTTTCGTCTCTTCTTTTTCTCCTTTTTATGATGTTTTCCTTTCTTAGATTTATTCTTTTTTTCCTTTTCCCTTTCTTTTTTGTGTGATTTTTGTTTTTTTGACTTTGGCCCATCCTCTTCAGCTGCACTTGGTGAGGAAGATCTAGTTAAAAAAAAAAATATATACACACAGATTGATATGCAATTAAAGAAGGAAAATGCCACAAGAATAATGTGGGGGTTTTAATTTCAGTATTTATATAATGTCACAAATCAAATTTGGTGTAGAATTCGTACAGTGGCATCCACTGGAAAGCTTATGATATCTCAGTCTGCATGTTCAACTGAACAATGACTTTTCTAATTAGACTATTGTGCCAGAAAAGCAGTTATGTTTACAATACAGATTAATTAACAATGGAATAGGCAACTTGTGTGTTTTTCAACCTTCAATAAGAAAAGGACTAAGAGTACAGACTGACAGAAAACTGAAAGTATGACATTAAGATAGAGCTTCCAGCTTTTAAAATACCACATAATCAATAACGATGCTACAGAAATGCCTTCAGACAAATCTTAATGTATTTCTCTCATGCAGAAATCTAAGAGAAACAGGTATGACAAATTTGGATGCTCTTGCAGCTGGTAATATTGGTCTAACCAGCAGTGATGAGTAAATACAAACATACAAGAATTAAGATGACAATAAAAGAGAAGTCCTGATTATTACACTTAAGAGGGCAGTTTTGTGCTATTATTTACATGATTAACTATTAATTACTTGCATGTAAAGACTACAGCCAGTGGACGGACTCTTTTCTACTGTCTTCGTAAGTGTAAGTTAGAGCTACACTACATAAATAGGGGGAAAAATGCCAATACAACCAGTGTTAAATCCTGTTTCTTTATTTCTGAAAAACATCTTATTGTGGCCTCCAAATACATTATACATTTCCTAGCTCTCAGCGCAGTTCCTGGGATATTGTCTCATCAACAGTCCTAATGACTAACCATCCTATAGTCTCATCTAAAAAAATCAGTCATCAGGCCAAAACTCAGATTCACAATAAATTTGGGTATTATGACATTTTTCTTTGAAACTGGAGTAACAGTTTTTTTAGGATTCTACAATAACAGGAACATTAAAACTCAACACATGCTAAGCTAAGTAAAACTACAGAAGTTTTCCTTTCGATAGTTACATGTTACTCAGAGCATCTGTATGCATGTGTGTGTGTCTCTACACAAGCATGTGTGCACGCAGGGAATCTTAGGGTCTCTGAACTGCAGGGAGGCTCCTCCATGCAAGCTAAGCTGGGGACCAACCCCATAATCCTCCTGACTCCTTGTTCTTTTCCTACCACATCTTGCCTAGTGTTGGATAGTCAGAGGGAGCATTGCTTTCTCAGACCTGCAGTCCTCCAGCTTGATAGAACTTTCTAGACTTCCATGGTCCTAACTCAGCAGAAAGCCTGTGGCTTTACCATTACTAAAAAAACCAAGTTCTCACTGGAAAACAGGAAGCTTTTCAAACCAAAGATGTACTTGCAAATAAAGTTGCATCAAAAGATGCAATGTTTTCTGAGAAACAACCCAAACATCAGAAAAAATTTTAAAGCTCTGTTTTGAAATTAAAATTACCTTTTTCTTGGTCTCTTTAATTTTGTTTTTTCTTTGCTTTTTCTTCTTTGTTTCTTTTTTTCTTCCTCCTCATTTAAATCTATGGATAAAAAGTTACAGTTTACAAAACGCTTGTCTGAATTAAGATCAGCATTAAAAGAGTGGCTTCAATAGCAATGTGAAGTTACTACAAAATTCTTGTTAAAAGTTTTTCATTTCCTTCCTCCAAACTCTGGTCTTGTATAGTAATTTCAGATATATTTTGCAGAGTAGCAGAACTTTTTATACAACTTACATTCTAATGGCTTTGATCTAAGCACTAAGAATGAAGGAACGCCTGTAAAACAGTAAAAAGTTGTGACTTTTCCTATATGTTTACATCTGCTTTAGGTTTTCATATCCATTCTTCTGTATTTTAAAAGACTTGCCAAAGTCTGAAAACATTTAACTAGAACGTACAAAAAAAAGAGTGTTCTCTTAGGCTTACCTGAATTACTTTCACACATCCTCATTTCACACTTCACAAATAGCTATGCCATAACTAAGGTAAATTTGACTGTCAATATACTGTCTACAAAAATTGGCAGAAGAGTCACCCCTCATCTGGTCATGTTTGTTTCCTGCCCTAACACTGTATAGTATTGTATAGCATCTTCAAATTTCACTTAACAAGCGATATTTTTATCACATTAGATGAAATTTCTAACCTTAGACTTTTCTATACCATTTCAAAAAGTATTTCTGAATTCTCTGAAATGCCAATCCAATACATAAATACACATTACAATGTCAGCTAACAGGAAAATACTGGCTTTACAATTTATCCTTAAAACAGATAGCTAATTTTGAGCATTTAATCTTATTTCTATCATACAAATAACTTTTCGTAGAGTCTGTATGCCAGTGCAATTATTTATTTGCTACCACAAATAGAAATTACTGGTCTGTATGTTCTGGAGAGAAATTTGAAAGAATTCAGTATGAGTTACAAAAAGCAAATTGCTTTTGGAGCAATTAAAAACCAGGAACAACAATGTGTGAACAAGCACAGTATTTTTTTAAGAAAACCGTGCAAAACTCTAAGTGCAAACAGTGCAAAAATCTTGAGAAGGTGAAGCCACTTGAAAATGGCAAAGTCCTGCCTGGATTATTGACAGTTGGAGGTACATATCTCCTTACAGTACACATAGCTGCCACAGTTTGAGAAAGAATATATAATAAACAGGGATATTACAAGATCAAGTAAACAGCTGTTTTTCCTGCAGATATCCATCTTCAATCAGTTTAGGGCCAAAAAAACCCCTTACATCCAGAAGTACGCAATAAGTGGGGACAAGTTTTTCCAAAGAGACTTGTTCCAAGACAGAACTGTTGCAGTACCAATTCAGCACTCCTGACAAGCAGACTATCCATTTCTTTTGAAGTGTTCCAGCAAATTACAGGGTTCTATCTATCCTTTCTCCTTCCTAAATAGCATTTTTAGTAGGAACTGAATGTAGAGTCTGGAATACGAGAGCAATAGAACAAAACATGACGTTTCAAGGGGCAGAGGGGAAGAATATTCATTCATTCATTTAAAACATGCTATGGTGGAACAACCTCCCCTTCTTACTTAGGGAAACAGCCTCTTTGGAGTCCAAATTCAAATGAACTCAAGTATCTGCTAAATAACCCATCTATTCTCTCCCTGACAAACAGTTGGTGCTCAGACCTTCAAAACACAGAACAGTACTTCTCCAAATATGAATGTTGAAATTCAATTCAGTAGCTCTTCCAGTCAAAAGACTACTTAGAAACTGGAGAGAAATTCAGCTGTCATAATTTGTCATTAGTTTTAAGAGTTACTATCAACTTTAAGATGTTTAAACTACATGCTATATTCAAAAGATTAACTCAGAACATCCACGTCATTTTCTCCTAAGCAGCTTCTTAGTAACAGCCTTCTTATCTCTTGTATTTAGGAGCCCTTTTTGAGATGTTCCAAATGGGTACGTTATTAATTTCCTATAACAGGAATTAATAATTTAAAAAAAAGATGTGGGTGTATCAAATCTCTGAAGTCTGAACACATGAAGTAAAAGACCTACTTTTAAAGCACAGGCTAAAAGAAGTAATAGTAGTTATCAAAAAGGATAAAATGAGAGTTCCAGTACTTCAGATGACCATTAACCAATTTACTCTTTAAGAAAAAAAAACCACCTTACTCTTTTTTTCACGCATGGCTTGCAATCTCTGTAGTTCTTCTTCTTCACTGTCTTCACTGCTAGTGCTGCTAACGTCTAAAACAATATCTCTTTGAGGATCTACTCGGAGGAAGTTTCGACATTCAAATGTTAGATGGCCAGCTGAACAAAACAAATATTCAGAAAGAAAAATTACAATTTACCAAAAAATACCAGAAAATAAAGAACATCCATTTTAGTACTACTCAGTTTTGAGAAGTGAAAAAAGGCTAGGCTGCAATCTGTGAACAAGGAGGGAGAAGGCTTACTTTGAAAAAGCCTCAAAGAATTTTGACAAATTCTTGTGCAATGTTATTCCATTTAATAGTGCTTTATGACCTGTCTCTTATTTCTGTTAATGTAAAGATTTTGTCCAACCTTTACTTTCTATTTTTTAATGGTCTCAGATCCTTCCTGAAGAAATTACCTAAAAGCATGAAGTGAAATATTTAAAAAACTACAGCAAGTGTGTTATATCACTCTTTTTGTCTCCCTCTAGTGAAATAGAAGAATCCTATTTGCTTATGAGACATAATCTTTAACAACCAGTACATAATACTGACTAAGCTACTACTTGACTAGTATTTTTAGCGTTCTAAGTTACATCTCAATAATCATGACCAGCGTTAGAAACCCTGTGCTGAATACACCTTTCGGAATAATAAAGAGAAATAAAACAAATTGAAGATACGGTTTGGGAGAAACTAAGCTAAAGACACAGGAATTCAAGTAGCAATTGAAATAAACTCATCTTTTTCATATCAAAGTACCTACATTTTGAAGACAGAGCTTTTAGGAACATAAATACAGGTTGTGTAATTTCACTACAAGTTTCCTTCTCTTCCAGAAAGCTTCTGATACTTACTGCATGTAGAAATGAAGCACTAAATCTATATTGATATCCATGTTCCTTTGGAAGAACAGATACACAAAGATACAGATACACATTGACAAAATTTGTTGGAGACAAAGTCTACAGTGAAAGAATGAAGCAAGCTTTTTTCCCCTTCAACCCACATAATGCTCATAAAAAAGACAGATTAAATCACTGTTAAAAGTTCAACACAATTCACTGCAAAACAGTGTCCACCCCTCCATTGTTCTAAAAATGAGAGTTAGTGATTAACAAATTAAAATCTTCACTAAGACCTGTCTCCATTTATCAGGAGAGTAGCCACAGACATGCTCATATGATCAGAGCATAATGCAAAGCATGAGCTAAATGCTAACTACAGAACTTGTAAGCAACAAATTAACTGTTTCTTGAAATACAGAATGCACAAAGAAGTATGTTTTCTTAGCGAAGAAGATCATACAGATTCTAAATTATTTTTTCTGTTAAAACAGATTGGACTTGAGCTGAAATGCCTGCCTAAGTTTGCAGTGAGACTCAGAAGCACAAATGCTAATCTCAGTAGATATCAAAGACTATGCTTTCCATTCAAAGTTTCTCAAGTAATTGCATTGCAAATATAGTATATATGAATACAATAGCATACATTTTTTTTTGTTTCTGAGAAACTCAAGGGTTTTCAAAAGCAGCAATAGGCGTGAGGAGCCAGAGCATGAATAAGAAATAAATACATTTTAAAAATTATGGTAATTTAAACTGACAAACGTCTGGGCAACAACGGAGAACACATCTTTTTTATTTTCCCCCCCTCCTCAAAAGGCAGTTCTAACATCATAAATTGAAGAAAACACTGTATCTTCATATAGCTCAATACAGACTTACGGTAGCCGCACTTCTTGCATCCTGCTCTGATGTTATCCTTATTTCCACCTGAAAGAGAAAATTTCATCAATTAGGTGTTACTAAACAGAACTTTCAAGTTTCTTTTAAATCTGGCTTGATAATGTCAATACACAGACAGGAGTGATCACTCCTCAGAGAATTAAGTACACTAAGATCTCTTAAAAAAACTTAAAAGCAAAACAGTGCATTTCTAAGGTCACTTTTCTGTACAGTAATCTATCAGAACAAATTTGGCTAGTATAAACTGCTGCGGATCATTTAGTTTCACATAACTTATTGCCAAACCCTCATTTGATTTATTATCACCTTTCCATTATAATTTCAATAATTATTGCACTTCTCTGAAAGCTTATGCATTTGTTTAGTTACAGTGTGAACACGGTAAGAGCTATCTGACATTCCAGATGTCATGGTTTAACCTCTGCCAGCAACTGAGCCCCACACAGCCGCTCGCTCACTCTCCCCCCGCCCCGGGTGGGATGGAAGAGACAATCGGATGAGGAAAAGGGAGAAAACTCATGGGTTGAGATAAGAACAGTTTAATAATTGAAATAAAATAAAATAAATAATAATAATAGTAATAAAAATAAAAATATACAAAGCAAGTGATGCACAATGCAATTGCTCAACACCTGC